CCTTGACAATTTTACAAACAGTAGAATAACTACTTATAAGAAAGAAAGGACAAAACCTGCAAGTAAAGATTTGGCTTTCTATGAAGAAATTTAGAGTACTAAGGGAATGTGACTTTCTAAGGTTACGTACAAACTCTGTATCTAACCTTAAAGAAAAGCAAATAAATAAAAACTGCTTTAATTAAGCACACTCTGAAAACTGCAGATTTAGAATGTAAATTGCCCCAGAGACACGTGATATTGGGTGGATTATCAAACATGATATCTGAGGAACATAGAAATTTAGAAAAGAAAAGGAGAAAAATGAGGAGGAACCTTACTTACTTTTTTCACTGCTGAGACAAAATATCTGATACTCAAAGTTAAATAATGGAGGAAAGGTTTATTCCAGCTCACAGGTTGTAGAGTTTCAGTTCATTGTTAGCTGAGTCCAAGGCAAGATGGCATGCCAAAGGGAAATCAGAGGAGAAACAACACTGCAGACAGGAGGCGGCAGCAACAGCAACAAACAGCTAGCCTATTTCCCTTGTATACCACGAGGCTACCAGCCTTTTGGGTGGTACACTCACAACTATTCTAATTCAATTTAGTGGACGTGGTACCACATACATTATGCCCAGTATCATAAGCCCTAGATCCCGCCAGCTCCAAAAACCCCACCTATGAGCACATGAGGCTTTGTGGGGACATCTAGGTACAAGCCATAACTGGAGTTAAGAAAGAAGAGTGAAAAACACAACCATTTGCTATTACAATTCACTGAGAACAGTATATATCCAAATAGAAACTAATATGAGTATTCAATTTTTCATTATGAATCTTTTTTCACTTTTCAATTAACTTAGAGTATTTTAATAAGAATTAAGGAGCACTACGCTGAACTTTCCACTACTTTGTACGCTTAGTAGACACTTACTGAATATGTGCTATGTGCTAGACACTCTACAAGTTACTTAGTACTGTGACAAAAATCATCATGCAAGTGTGATTCCTGAACACAGCTAATGAAGGAGCACAGCTAATAAATATCCAAACCATTTAAATAGTGACTACCAATAAACAGAGCCATGAAGCAAAAGATCAAGTGTCAGGTAGTCCTTTTTGAAAAAGTACTATTTTCTCACCCTCGGGTCATAGGTAGTCAAGAGTAGGAACAATGGGCAGAGAAATCAGCTTTATTGCAATGATCTGAGCCTAAACAAGAAAAAATTTGCAACTTTCAAGGTAAACAAGACCAGTGTAGAAAAAAAAACAGTGATCAAATACAGCAGAAAAATATGAGAAGTGGAGGCCTGAGAATTGGTAGATGGGACTAAAACAACAAGGTCCAAGCGGCTTGTTTTATTCTATGAGCAATGAGAACCAACCGAAGAGTTTTAAGAAAACTGCCACAGATTTTTCAAAAGGTCATTGTATAATGGTTGTACTGACTGTGAAAGCACAAATGTGAACAGTGGGAACCAATTAGAAAACTATAAAGACAGCTAGTTAGAGAGTATGGTGGAAAGAGAAAGAAAAGGCTCCACTGTCTTCCTAGCAAAAAATACAACGCTTGTACCTAATTTTTAGCTGCTACTAAATAAGGCTGCTTTCCAGGGCAATCCCGTAAGACTCATTCCAAATTACTGAAATTAACTCAAATTAGTTCTGGCCTTAAATTCCTATCAAGTAATACCTTGCAAAGTTTATAATAAAAATATAACACGAAAATGTAAAGCCATGAGGGTAAACATTCTGGACTTTCCTGAAATCTATAAATTAATTTTTATATAGACCTTGCTGTACTATCTTGCCTCATTTTGTAAATATGGTAACAAAACTGAACAAATCATTACGCTATATTTTCTTTACACGTAAACGGCAAATGCCTTTACTAGCAGATAAAAATTAGATAACAAAGGAAAAAAATTTCACTCAGAAAATAATCATTCTTTCAAGGTGATGAATGTACTAACAATTATATTGGGGTTCTCAATAGCCAATAAACCATCTTTTACGGAGAATTACACAACAAATATTTATTGCGTTTGCAGTGTATACCAGTTTCTTTTATATAAGTGTCAGTTGTAAAAATCTCCTTTATAGTGGGCTTGCTGGAAGAAAGAAATTAAGTTTTCTAGATCCATCATTTTATTGTCTTCTCTGCAACAGCAACAGTGGGAGAACTGGAGAGGCAGGACATGAGCTATACTTAGTAAAAATGGCTAATGCAACAGGGAAAAAGATTCCTCAAGTTACTACATATGTATATTTGCAGATATAAAATGAATGTAACTGAATTGTCTCTTTCAGTATACTAATGTTCCCCCAAAAGCTGATCTGACATGGGAATTAACAATCTAGTAACAATATCCATCACAAAGTAGCTATCCTAGCTGCACATGGTGGCAAACATCTGTAACCACAGCACTCAAGAGGCTGAGGCATTAGGATCACCATGAGTTTGAGGCCAGCCGGGGCTACCGTGTGTACAAGACCACAAAACAAAACCAGAAAGTAGCTATCCTAACTTTTACCTTCCATTATTTTACAAGTCTCTCAGGAATCACCTCTATTAATTTCACTTATAGTGGCAAGAAGAACAATTCCAATCAATCCTTAGTGAACCAAAGCTGTGTCTACTTCCCATCCCCATGAAGAAATCACGCTACATGCATTGACACTTGAGAAATTAGCTGCATGTTGGCAAAAATAATGACAACTGGAAAATGTCTGTTCCTCTTATGTCACTGAATATAGCCATAAGTTTTTTGGTAACGAAAACAACTGCAGGAAAGGAAAGGCGTACATACTGTGATTAATCAACAGTCACCAGTCAAAAAGGTTGGAGAAAAGATCTAATAAAATATTGACAGAAAACTGAATCTTCAATGTGTTCATGTACCTTCCCGTCTTTTCAATTGATAATTGTTTATTGTCCAGTACTGACCACAAGCCAATTAATAAAAAAAAATTTTTATCCAGTACCTTTTCTAGCAGATACTGACATTCTGATTCAATCATTACTGTGTAGTTGTGTCTACTGTACTGTAAAGATTAATGAATGTCCGCTGCACAATTTCTGATTTTACGAAAAGCTCATGTTAGGACAGCTCAAAACTACAAAAACATACGGGCCGCATGCGGAGACTCTCTAAGTAAGTCCTCTATGGTTTTATGTGTGGTTGTTTTGGAATAAGTGTTGTACAACTGTGATGAATACTAGGTCTTTTCTTTAGAGATATGGTTTGGATATTATGTTACCTCCAAAACTTGTATTGACACTGAATCACCACAGGAGGTGTTCCTACGAGGTGGTAGAACATTTAAGAACCAACAAGGATGTGGGTCACTGCTCGCAAAGGTATTAATTCATTAAGTCTTACACAGTAAACAGTGGATTCTTGCTCTTGTGGGACTGGATTACTTCAAGGCAGGAAACTATGAAGTGAGGACGCCCCTTGCGTTTTGTCCGTTTCGTACATGCCAGCCTGCCCTTTCACTTCTGCTATGAGTTCAAGCTGCACTGGCACAAGGCTTTTTACTGCTCTTGGATTGCCCAGCCATCAGAAGAATGCATCAATATAAAGCTCTTTACAAATGACCCCATTTTAGGTATTCTGTGATAACAAAAAAGGGGGGACACAGAAAAATGCACATGGGTACATTCATAAAAAAATACAACAAACACTTTCATAAGGTTGAAAAAGTGCCCTGTGCTTATCCACAGTTTAGGTTAAAAACTTGACAAAATCACTAAGAGAGTCTTCTTTTGAGCAAACTACAGAATAGAATTGTAACAGAATTGTTATGAAAAAGACAGACAAAGCACACAGTAAAACACAAGAAAATGATAAAAGTTAAGATGAAATTCACAACCATACTGTGAAACCTACACCATCACAATACAGTGTTAGGTCATTCATTGACAAATTATTGAGGAAAATTATAAAGCAGGCAAAGGTAAGATATAATAATGCTCAAACTCTGATATAACTAACGTGAGTCTTGCTTTCCCATTGCTTCTAAGCACAAATGGTAAAGACAAGCAATTATGCTACTGAATAATTTAAACAGATCTGATACTAAAGGAGATATATATATGAGCATCTACAATAAAAGAACCACATTGTGACTGAACTTCACAAAACTGTTCCCTAAAGTAAAACTATAGTAAAACCTACACAGTGAATAAGGAATCTATGCAGAAATGGGGTTAGAGAATAAAGTTAACAAAAACTTTGTAGACTAAAAGGACCATTCACAAACAAAGTAAAGGCAATGTGAGACTAAGCTATTTATACAATATTAGGAAGATGTTGGTTCTCTTATTAATAGCTTTCTTCATAGCCTGTCACTCACCATCTTAAAAAATAATGATATATTACAGTCATAATAAAATGGCTGAAAGAACTTAGAAAACATACATAAAGTCCTTAGTAAAATGCTGTGGCCCAAATGTCAGTAATGGCAATTAAAGAGCAGACACCTAACTTGTATGTTGTGCAAAATGTTACAAATGGCCTGTTAATTCAGCTACTAGGCAAAGAGTAACAAATCTGCACAAACACATAAATAATTTAAATACTTTAATGATGTCTGCTGTTCATATTTACCTATATAAATGAGATAGGGCTGCACTTAGATTTTGCACAAACATATCATCTTTACTGATGAACTACAACATACTTTTACCATTAAGATTACTCTTTTAAACAAATTACCAACTTACTGATGAACTATGACGAATGCTTAAGTAAAACAAGCTGAGATTTAAGTCAAAAGGAAAATAATTTCACTTTGCTTCTAGGCAAAGTATTATATGGATCACCACTAATTTAGAATTTTTTGTAGAAATCTATTACTGTTACAGGGAATATATTTTTCAGTTATATGTTCTCTTGGATACTGAGTATTCAGTAAATTTTCTCAAAACTTAAATATCTACACTGTATCACATAGGTTCAATTATTCAATAGTTGAGAACTGAGACATACAGACACTTAAAAATGTGACATTACCTGGAAAACTAGTCTTCATTACATCAATTCCAACTTGTAACTCAGGTTCAGCAGCAAGTACTGCGTAGTCCCCTTGATGAGAGATGTTAAAGTTGAAATTGGGGTAAGGGTTCAATGAGTCCTTTGCAAGAACAGGCTTTCCTTTTGCAGTTCTTTGCAAGCGAATATTATTCCAAGGAATATTCAACTTCTCTGCAACTAATTTCCTTATCATCAGACGACCAGCCTGTTAAGTATATAAAACTTCATAAATATTAATGTCTACTAAAACATATACATTGTTCACATATGAAGTATTTTTTTGAGTTTTCTAAAGTTTCGTTTTGAAAGTACATAAGCATTAAATACAATGCATTAAGATTACGCAATTTTCCCCCCAGTTTTTTGAGTTCAGGCTACCCTTGAACTCACAGCAATTCTGCCTCAGCCTCCCTAGTGCTGATTATAGGCGTGTCCTACCACATCCAGCTCTAAACTTTTTAATTTGTAAGTATGGGATTATTATTTTATATCTAACATATCAATCGGGTCCGTATACTCTTAAGTGTAGCATACAATTTTACAGTATTGAGATACAATAGCGCTGATATTTCTCTATATTACCAGACGTTTTAGGTTGGTTCTAGTTTTGCTGTTATAAAAAGCCCACAAAGGGCAGCCCAACTTACTAACACTTGTGCATATATGCAGCTACTTCTAGGTACTACATACTGATCGCCTGGCTTCAAAAATTAGCAACATTAACCTATCTTGTTCCTTTCTTCCACCTCCACTAATTACTAAAAATAGAAAAGACTCCAGAAGTTGAATGGCAAGAGGAACTTTTTAAAAAGTATCCTTCAGTTTTTCCCTCCTTTAATTTTAACAAGTTTAAAAACTACAGGGCTTTCAAATTCACCCACTTCCCTATTTCTTACAATTATAAGAAAGTGGCCTTTGAAACTGTATCAGTTAACCCACTTTTCAAACGGGAGTATTTTTAAGAAATGACTTTTAAGTGATAGTGGAGGCTGTTTCAAACTGCACTACATAGTAAAAGCGTTTATTTTTGAATATAATTTGCCACTTTCTGTTAGAAAATACATACTAAACAGCATGCATGTATTAAATAGTTTCTCAAGCTATCCAATCAGGAAGGTATATCCAGGACTGTACCCTAACTGCGCTTCGGTAACAGGCGACTGGCCTAGGCCTCTCCCAGGGCCTCAGTTCGCAGGCATACAAGCTAAGTCATATAGTTAATATTTTCTGAGGCCTAACACGTGCACCGTACCCCTGGACAGTAGTGGGATATGTAAACGGCAGATTAAGCATGGGCTATGAACCAGCAAAGAATAAAATGCAACTTGGCAAAATTTAAAAATATAAATGACCATTCACCACGGGAAGAAAAACGTATCACTTCGTAGGCCTTCTGGGTACTTTGATGATTTACAGGGCCTCTATTTTCAATCGCATGTGGGGAGGAGCTAGTTTTTACTGCAATTGGCCTCTGAGAAGGTACAAAGACCGTGGAGGCCCGGCATCCCAGCCCACCTCCCCCAGCATTAGTACCATGGCTGCCTTAGCGTCCCGGGCAAAGACGAACTGGCCAATGCGCTCCTTCTCCTCCGGCTGGATCGATCGGACCGCCAGCAGCCATTCGGCTCGGCTGGGCAGCCAAGTGCCACAGGAAAAGGCCCAGCGCACGCCCTCCATGGATGGCACAGAGCAGAACCGTTTGGCAGGGAAAACCATGCACTCCGCAAGAAACCTCCAGGCGGATGGCGCGGAACCGAGCGTGGCCACGCACCCTTCTTGGTGGCGTCTTTGCGCAGGAGGCGGAGCGTCACGCACTGACCGCAGGCACGTTGCCCCGCCTCAAAGGCGGTAGTCTTCTTCAGTAGCAAGGAGCTGGGGGCGGAGACCACGACCTACGTCCGCGTTCTGCGGCATCGTGTGACGTCAGGTGGGCGTGGCCCTGGCGGTAAGGGCGGGACCGTACGCAAGCGCCCGGACCCTTACGCCACTCACACTTGGAGAAGAGCTAACGGGACAGTGGTACAAGCCAATCGCAACCAGTGCGCTGGAGGCAGGGAGACCGGGGTGGAGACTTCGGAGACTGCAGTTGCAGGTGGGTGAGCTCCGGGGTTTGCTGGAGGAATGGGATTGTAGCGTCTTATTTTGGGGGCTTGGGATGGGCTCCGTCGACCCCCAGAGGAGGGGGATGCTTTGGCTTTAGTGAATTTTGGCTCCTGCGTGTTCCTAGGGACGGGAGGGCTGCCTTTGGTGCCCGCGGAATTGTGCAGCGCGCGGCCCTGAGTTGCCGAACATCTCCCTTCGGCCCCCCCACCCCCCAGTCCAGCCTCCTCGGCCAAAAACCTAGCCTTGCCTTTTACACTCCTTCCCAGCCGCCCCGTCCACCTTACAAACAGCCTGGAAAGCCGAGCTAAGACCGTGGCCTCAGTGCGGGCTTGGGCTCCGCCTGAATCCCGGGCTGTCAGCCAGCTGCCGGGCGAGTCTGACCCTTCACTGCGGCACTGTGGGAGCCGGGTTCTGTTTTACAATTGCCACGACTGGGCTAGAACCCCCCGGGAACGACTGAAGGTTCTGTTACTGAAGCCCCAGTGATTTCATCCGGAGGCCCTTAGGCTAAGAACAACAAAATCCAGTAAATAACTTAGGTGGCCCTTTAGATTTACTGCATGCCTTTATTCAACTTCTTTCTCAGACTTGAAGAAGTCATATTGGTACGTGTCTTCCCATAGTTGTTCTAAGTAAACTGTAGATGCCTTATCTAAAAGCCAACTTGATCGATGTTCCTTCGGGTTTTGGCCCAAGGAAAAGTTGGTCTCTGCAGGTGAGGTAAATACCTCTCTAGATGGTAGACTGAGAGCCCTAGAACGGCATTCAGCCTATTTCATCTTCCTATGGCTCCACGGAAATAATCCAGCCGAGTAATAGCATGGTTACCTGACCCTTATATCTGTTATCTTTCTATTGGATTTTATTGTGATTTTCATGTATACTTGCTCCTATGCCCTTTTTGTGATATCTTGCACCTCGAATCCTTTGCATGCACACACACCTAGGTCCTTTTGAAGGACAGTTGCATTAATTACAGCCTTGGTATGTCAACTAATACTAAAAGCCTGTGTCAGGTGCAGTACTTAAGATCTGCTTACCGCTGGCAGTGAGCTCACTCACTGTATGACAAGGCAGGTGAAGCACACATATAAACAACTACAATGTGTAAATGTACATATGTGAAAGATATTAATACTCATACCTGTAATGACTACCATTCAGTTTTTCATTTTTTCACTTTATGTATATAAGCGTTTTATTATAACCTCCCATTTTTAAAACTGATTTTATACTTTTGATTTACTTTGTGTCTCTAAAACAATAGTATGTACGTTACATATTCTTTGTGTATTAGTTATTATTTGTAATAGAAAGTCAGCTCAGAAGGAATTTGTGAGTGGAAAATCTTAAATTCAAGTTTAGAAAGTCATATTCCACTATTTTACTATTAAACTAAGTTCACTGTATTAGATCTATGCAGCTTAATATACAGACAGATAGGTAGTCTTTACTTGTAATTTTCCTCTTTACCTGGAATGTTCTTGTATCTTCCTAGCATCACATTCCTTGTTCTCCTGTGTCATTCAGGCTCAAATGTCATATACTCACTCAATTTAAGAGTAACTGATTTTCCATCTCCTTTCCCTAACCAAAGCCTGGTGCCCTAAATGAGCTTAATCTCCTTCCCTATTTACTTTTTTAAATCTTACTTGTCCTTGAAGGCTTATCTTGAACCGTGCCTTAGTTTAAGGCTTATTCCGGTGTACTTTTAAAATAAGTCACATTGTTTACATAATTAATTTGGCAACCATTCTAGTATTGCCTTATGGCGTCTTTCTTATGTGTCTGCATTATGTATCTGTGCTATCTTGCAGATTAAAATAGAAACTACTCAAAGAGAAAATCTCATGTATATTTTAGTTTTTACAAATAGTAGACAGGAGTAAATGCTACTGATTTTTACGATACATTTTATTATTCAAACCAGAATAATACTAGTGTTTATTATCTACCTTTTCTTCTCTCACTATTTTAAAGGAAATATAAGCATAATTAACACCTTAGCAAATACATTTAATAAGCTGAAAAGCCATATTAAAAATTTGCATCCAGGGGCTGGGGATTTAGCTCAGCGGCATAAGTGCATGCCTTGCAAGCAGGCAGTCGGTGAGTTTGATCCCTGGTACCGATAAAAATGAAAAAGACCAAAAAAAAAAAAAAATTTGCATCCATGAGTCAGAAGAAGATGATGACTAATGTAACAGAGATGCAACAACGTTGTGAGTACTGGTTATCTTGCTTGATCCAGATTTGTGGCTTTTTAGCATCTTGGGAGACTTATGTCTGATCTGTTTCTACTACTCATGGGACTTTGGATAAAGCACATAATTTGAATTAATTTCAGTGAAAAGACATAAATGAAATCATTGTTTTAATTATGTAATTTTAAGGTAAAGATCACTAGCTTCTTTATTGAGCTTCAAACTTTGTTCTCTTAAACCTTATTCCTTTCCTTCAAGATTTCATTAAATACCTCCATAATTCTGCCAGTTACTCATGGAGCAAACTGTGAGTCTGCTTTTTCTTCATTCTCCATACCCAATCTATTCCAAGGTACTGTTGATTCTACTTCTAATATAGAAAAGTACCTAATTATATTAATCTCCATTACTGCTTAACTCTAGTCTAAACCACTATTCTTTCTCATAACAAGACGATACTGTTTAGTGTTTATAGCTTAGGAAGGTGATGCATTTTCTCTCAATGTCTCTTTTCCATGCCGTAAGTATAAACTGTCTTTAGAGCTGAATCTAGTAGTCCATGCTCCAAATACCAAACTGCATTGCATCCTACATCCTAATTATATTGAGGAAGACAGGCCAACAAAGTGCAAAGCTTGAAGAGGATCATGCTACCAAGGGGGGAAACTAATGAGAGGTTAAATAAGCTAAGGAGAGGCGAGTGAACATTTGACTCCTGTCATTGCATGGTGACTTTGATGGGAGTAGTTGTACTAGGGTGATACTGAGGTACTTGATTGTAGTGGATTAGAGATGGTAAATGGAGGTGATACTACTACACAATGTTCTTTAAAGAAGTTCTTCTGGTTAAGAGAAAAGTGGAATGTTTTCTAAAGTAGAATTAGAAGCCAAAGGTTGGACTTTTTTGTTTCTTGTTTGTTTAAAGAGGGGAGGTACCAGAACTTGCGTGCTATCAAAAATGTCTAGAACAAGAACACTTTTTAATGTAGGAGTGGGAAGGAGGTTGTGTGTGTGTGTGTGTGTGTGTGTGTGTGTGTGTGTGTGTGTACATCAGAGTAAAAGACTTGTCTGAAATGCTAGGCTATGTCCCCTCATATTTAGAATACCGTCTGCAATAATAATATTCTGTAAGTATTCTAACAATCACTGTATAGCATGACCCTTCTTATCTTAACTTTTTACTTTATTCATCATGTATCAACTAAAAACATGTTTAAAAATATAAATGAAATCAGTTCACTCTCTTAGTTTCTGTGCCATGATCCTCTTTAGGCTCTGCACTTTGTTGGCCTGTCTTCCTCACTATAATTAGGATGCAATGCAGCTGGGTATTTGGAACATGGACTACTGGACTCAGCTTTAAAGACAGTTTATACCTATGGCATGGAAGAGAGATATTAAAAGTTGTGTTGCTTTGCACTTGCATTTTGCAGTCCTATCTCTTGACATTCCTGATCCCAGTCACTGTACTCTAGCTCCATGGACCCCTTTTCGTTTCCTGAAGCTCAAGGACTCCTTTCTCATTTTAAAATTTTGAATATGATTTCTCCTACCAACTTCTTTTCTTCTCATCAGGACTCAGATGACACTTTCCTTCAGAAAGGCTTTCTTAATCCTGAAGTGCAAGGATTCTGGGGCCAGACTGTCTGGCTTCACTTCCCAGCTGCCGACTTCCTTGTTATGTGACCTTAGCCAAATTACTTCAGTTCACAAAATCTCATTTGCCCTCTATACCATGATAATGATAATAGCATCCTCTTTATACAGCTGATTCGAAGACTTAAAAGACTGTATAAATTATGTAGTATAGAGCCTGGCTCAGAGTAACCATGTATAGATGTAACTGTTAACCATTTTTTGAAGTAGGCTGCGCCCACAATGTTTCCCTTTATTTCGATTTCCTATACTCTGCTTCTTCCCAGTATGTATAACAAGTAATAATTATTAATCAATGTAGTTTAATGTCAGTCTTCCTCCTTAGGTAGATAGTGAACACCACAAATGCAGAGGCTATTTGCCATATTTTCCAAAATATCTCTAGTTCCTAATTCATTAGTTAATATTTGTAATGAAGTAATAGTAAGGTAATGCCAGAATTATGTGCTATATTTAAACATCAGTAATCAAATTAATGTCACTGGAAAACTCACTGAAATCAAATCCTAGAACAGTAAGATCACAGCCTAGTTTAGTATGCTACTTCTGTCAAGGGACATCTATTTTTCTGACAGTAATTTACTTCAAAGTCCTGGTTATTAGGCTTAATTCTTATACTTTTAATAATTCCATTATTTAAATCAATTTTTAATAGTAAACATTCAAAGAAAGGATAAAATAATAGTTTTGAAAGTTAATTTAGTATTTCTATCATAAGGTAAAATGAGATGCAACCTGATAAAGTACACTATTATTAAGTATATGCTTGTACATGCATAAAAAGCAAAATAAAAGCAAAATTAAGATACTCCTAAAGCGTCTTAACATGTAAAGGCTTTTTCACTCATTTTCAATGCAGTCTCTATGTCCATGTTTTGTTCAACAGTGGCATTCTCAATTTTAAAGCATTACTCACCATTTTTATACAAATATTTGTTATTATCTCCACCAAGATTTTCTTCCAAGATAATGATAAATATGTCATGTTAATCTAACTAAAATGATGGTAAGATGCCTATCCACTTCAGATATACATGTGAAAAAAATTTGCCTTAGAAAATATAAAAGACCATTATTGATTTTGAAGATATTTCAAGAAAAATTATCTTACAAGTATTTTGCCAGTTAA